CCTTGGAACATCCTAAGAATAACACATATCTTTATGTGTAAATATGATGAATTAAACAAGATAATATGTGGAATCACTAACCCAAAACTTGAAATACTTACTAGGATTTAGGAATTGCTTTGAAGAAGTAAAACTTGGAGCTTAAATACGTTTGAGAGAAATTTTTGAGTTCACAGAATGTGAATATGATAAATGGGATACAATGAGGATTGGTTTATGCCCCTAAAGGAAGAAGAGGGAAAGGTTTACGTTCCTTGATAAGAGTGTGGGGTTGATATGATGCTTGCTTGGAGGACTGTTGGATAATTCATAAAGATTCAAGATTGCATGGACAAATGGCCAAATACAACTTATAATCCGTAAACACTTAAAATATCTAAGTGTTCACGGCATAATATGCTTCCTATGGAAGTGTTCATGGTCAAAGTTTGGAATCCTTATGGAGTTTACGCCCATGGATGGTCCACCAAAGGGGTTCACAGTTCTATATCCTTTTCTCTTTTGAGTTCACGGCCTAAAAGTGCTCATGTGGAGGGGTTTACGACCTAAAGGTGTCATGTGGAGGGGTTTACGGCCAAAGTGGGGTCTCTAAGGTGGTTCACGGCCAAGACCTCCCCCTTTAAGGGGTTTACGCCCAAAACACCTCCTAGGAAGGTGTTCACGGCCAAAGGTACTTCTCTTAAAGATGTTCATGGTCTTGGATGGGTCCTAGGAAGGTTTTTATGGTCTTAATCAATACTAAATACAATTATGTTGTCCTTATAATTTAATTGCTCAACATTATGACACAATTACAAGTTCTTGTGTCTATGCCATGTGATCCTTGTTCGATTGTATTGTAAATTGAATCCCAATTTATTTGCACCACTGTGTCTTGCTTAACTTGTTTAGTTTTCCAAGAGGTTACCTTATATGTGACTTTCAAACTGTACACTTCCTTATACATGCACTTATGCTCTCATGACTTTCAAGGTTCTCATTGTAATAGGGTTACAATTTGACCTTGATTGATCCAAATATTTCGGGTTGTCATAGTTGGTACTTTGGGGGAACTCACTAAGCTTCGTGCTTACAGTTTTGGTTTACGGTTTCAGGTACTTCAGCCGATCTTGTCAGGGTGAAGGCGTGACCATAAACATCCTTGCTATTTTGGACTTATGATTTATGGTATACTCTGATAATGACAAAGTTTTGAAACTATGCTAAGAACGATTTTGATTTTAAATAATGTTTTGGAAACAATGGGTTTTTTAAACACTGCGATAGAAAAATGATTGTTTTGAAAAGTTTAAATTTTATGAAATTTTATGGATGTTACATGTTATTCCCAAAAACATGTAGTTCTATCAAATAAGGTCTCTTGAATCACTATCTCTATGTACTCGATGTACCAAACGGATCTTTTGTGAACATATAAACATCTGAAATGAATTTGCAATTGAGTGAAATGTTTCACCAAACGGCAAGCCAATAGTGATTTGAAATGAGTTTATGAACATATAAACATATGAAATAAGTTTATGTGTGCTCAATGAGAGATATATAGATAAACATGAGAATCTCAATGTTGTTCTTGACAACAGTCATGATATAGATCTTGTTCTTGGATCTCTTACTAGTTCTTATGATAAGTTCAACTTGATTTATCATATGAATAGTATGGAGAAGACATTGATGGAATTCTTAAACTTTGTCAATAAGGTGAAAACTAGAAAGGAATTAGATTTCCTATCCAGTTCTAGTTATCGCCTTTTCTGAATCTTGGCGGAAAGAAGAAGTAACATTTGAATCCTAAATGGAAAGGAGTGGTTTTGGCTAGCACTTCCCAATATAATGGAATGAAATTGGTGTGTCATTTATTCCACACAACCATTATTCAAAAGAGGCAAGTTGCAATTAATGCAATAACAAGGATCGTAAAAAACGAAGCTACCCTAAGTACTTAAAGATGGTAAAGTTAAATGTTTGACTCTACATCAACTGTTTAAATAATCAAACTCCATATACATTCCTTTCGTGGATCATGGATGCATGATGTGGTAGTCATATTTGGATGGCATTGTAGGATCTAAAGGAAAGAAGGGATTTTAATCATCGAGATCTAAACCTAATTGTTGGAATGGACGAGTGTCGCATGTCTTGATTATTATGGATTTCGAATTTGTGCTTAGTAGTGATGTTAAGAAAGATCGGGTTATTTTCTATTTCTCTTCGGAAATGTTTAGAACCCTAATTTCATTGTATACGTTGTGTAAACATGAATTACAATTTTCATGTGTTAATGGAAACAATTCTAGTTTATAAAGATGATGGTTTTTTGACATCTTCTTGCATTTGGTATTCATGAAATTGTATTTTGTGTTTCTAGTAATAGTAAGATTAACTTTAATATTGATGCTTCTACTAGTTTAGATAAGAACACGCTTGTGGCATAATCGTGTTGGCTTCATAAGTAAGAATCGCATCGCCAAGCTCTAACTGGACTGCACTTGGAATCATTTGATTTTGGGGTGGATGATGTACATGAGTCTTGTTTTTTTTGGCAAGATGATTTAATCACAATTTACATAGAAAATTAATGTGTATGGACCCTTAAGATCTGCCTCAAGGGACTACAAACACTTAGAACATGACATACTTTTTTTTACGTCATAAATGTTATTAAAAATAACATAAGTTTACGACGTATACTTTATGTCGTAAATCTTATTATAGTTTACATCAAAATAACAATATTTATTTTACGACAAACATTCTTGTCTGTTTTAAAACAAGTGTATGTATATGGTAATTCATATGTAATTAAAAATAAAAACTTATTTTCTAATAGTGTTTGACCCATACCTTCCCATTTTAGGTATGACATTAGGTCTTTTGTTCCATGTGGGAATTCATTCTGTAGCAAGGTCATGTCAATGGGTGGGGCAGCTTGGCCGATCGCCCATGACCTCCATATTTCTAGGGCCCCATTTTATATATCTTATTATGTTAGTGTAGAAAAAAAACTAAAAAAAAAAAAAAAACTTTGACATCATGTATAGAGGTTAAGAGGAAAAAGGAAAGAAATTTGAGCCAAAATAATATCAATGTAGAACACTAATTGATATGCGATTCTTCTAGAATAATCATTGTAGTGGGCCTCTCACAATCAATGATCGAAGAACTCTTTGAATCAATTTTGACTTTTTCAATAGTAACAAACAAATCGATTCATATTAAATTGGTTTAGATTTTTTCATGCAAATTTCTGATTTCAATCTTTCTTAATACGTCATAATCTGTTTCACACGTCCTTAAAAAATCGATCATGCATTCTTGTTAATCTGATTTTAGCCAGGCTCACTGATATTGGTTTCTGATTTATGGTTCAAGTTAATTTGATTTTTGACTTGTGTTAATCTGATTCATGTAAATTCCATCATTGTTCTTTACGTCTTTGATGTTATTTATCTAATTAAAAGTTAATTTAAGTGATTTCTTTTTGATTTTATGTAGATAACTTGAAACCTCAAAATAACAAGTTTTGAAATCCTTGTTAACCGGAGCATGGAAAACGATTTAGAAATTTTTACCTTTATTGTTGGAAAACGATTCGACATCACAAGTTCACAACTATGTGTTTTTGTTTCATTTACCTTGTAGTGAGAAAAGGAAAAAAAAAAATTAGAGAACTAAATTACTAATACTATTTCAAAAGCGATCTACGGGTAAAATTGAAACGAGGGATTCATTTGAAAAAAACAAAAACAAAAAAGACGTCATCCTTTACTATTTTTCTTTAACGTAAGGGCCTCATTTTTATATTTTGCTCGGGGTCTCAAATAGGCTTGAACCGGCCTGTTCCGTACTACTCTCATGTATGTAGTATGTTGGAGTATTTAGATTTTGGAAACCTGGGAACGAACTTCCTTTTCAAAATGTGGAGAACACTCCTTCATAAAACGGATGAAGAAATTTAAACACATGAATTGATTTAATTTTGATTGAAATTTGGAGTAGCTCTCCACTTCCCATTTTGAAGTCTGTATATCTTCATCTAGCTTCTTGCAACTCCTACTTTTAAAAAATTTATCCTCGTCTTATGTTACAAGAAATCAATATACTAATTCATAAAAGGCTCGCTTTCTTTTAGATCTCATTAAAATTGTATGATATTAAGTATTTATTGAAGAGTTTTACTTTTTTTATTATCATATTTTAGCCCATTTAATATCAATACAAATTTGTTGGTCGACCAGGATGGCTGGATCGATCCATAAAACTATATATGGTAAAATAATTATATTATAACGTTACGCTCTCCTTTTGATCGACATAGCAATAAAACTTTAATTTACTAAAAAAATGCCACAAGCACGATCTTAAACATCATCATGATCAAAACAATGATACCCAATATCAACGAAAAAAACACAGTATCTTGAAAACATAACATAGAAACTAATCATGCCTGTAAGGGACAAACTATAAGATATATCAGGATCATATATTGCAGGTTCAACAAGATGATATTAATCCAGTCATAGCTCTCTTCTGGACTTCATAACAAACGTTGAAGGTTTAAAATTTGTTAAAAATGTCCTACCCTACTTGGGTATGATAGTTAGAGCCTCAAAATTTAGCTAAGAATACCCAAGTCGAAGTTCCAAATCTAAATCATCAAACTTTGAGTCTACAAACGAACCATTCTCTGGCTTCTTGACAATCAGACTCTCTTCTTCATGAGAAAAATCATAAAAGCCATCAACTGTTAGGTCGGATTTTTGCGATCTCATGGCAGTGAAATTTGCTTTTGCTGAAGGACATAGTTTATTAAACCTAGGAGCAGAGAATGCAAGAGAAGACGAATAAGTTTGTACTGAAGAAGGGGATCGGAGCATTGATGGAAACGATGATGTCTTTAATGCAAAAGTCGTTGAGATCATGTTAGGGTTAGGGTTAGGGTTGCGATCATGGTTTAGGTGTGCAGGAAGAAAACCAAGATACTTTGGGGGTGTTGTTTGTCTAAGCCTCGCTTTTTCCCTCCTATGAACGTTCATGTGACCACCAAGTGCTTGAGCAGATCGGAACTTTCTCTTACAGAAAGTACACGTGTAAGATCTGGGAGGCCATGGAAACTCACCAAGCAAATCTCCTCCATCACAAAATTTTGCTTGACCACTGCTACTTTCCAAGCAAGAATCTACCGGAGCTTTCCTGTCTTTGATATTAATGGTTTTATTTGTTGCTTTCCCTCCACTTTTGTAGTCTTTTGGCATGTTACTTTCACTCATACTTCCATTTTCCTCCATTGTTGCGCTCGGATCTTGCCTCAAAAGACCAAAAAGGCACCGGAAGATCAAGAGAAAAAGAGAGAAGGGTGATCAAATATGATGCAAGAAGATGGAAGTTCCATCGGAAGGGAGAAAGGGGTTGGGAGATCTACTTCCTTATGTTTGATGACTACGTACTATAAATGGAAATCCTCGTCGGGGCCAGCGACTACCTTTTGCAAATATCTAGCTAGTACTATCCGGCTGGTGTTTCAGTCTTCTCTACAAAATATTTGTTCCAATTCCCTATGCAAAATTTTGAGGTTTTTTTTTTTTTTTTTTCATTAGATTCTTAAAACATTATTTGATGAATCTTTTTAATTAAAAATGTTTAACAGTCATTATTTTCAAACTTTTTATGAGGAAATAGCCAAATAGTCATAATTTGTGGTAGGTGATCATCGAAAAAAAATTGACTTTCTCATAAATTTTAAATTTTTATAACTCTTTCAAACGATTTTAATTTGGGTGATTTTTTTTCATTGTTTTTTATGTAACAAGAGCTATCCATAAACATATCACACTCCAAAATTAAATGTCGAGAAATCATGTTCTTTTAGGTCTAAAGTAGGCTTCTCGATGAAAAATATGCATCTTTGATCCTTCATAACTAATTCATATGAAGTTCGATTGGAGGTAATTTTTTTCAATGAATTCTATGTAACAAAGCTATCCATGAACATATCAGATTTCAAATTTGGATGTTGGAAAGACGTACTTTGTTAGGTCCAAAGAAGTTAAATTGTCTGAATTTCATAGTCAAAGTGTATATTTTCATCGTCAAATTGCATGAAAACTATGAATCGCTTGTCTATTAGCAAATTAACATTTTATTCTTCGGTTGATGTTTTATTATAATATCATGTTATTGCGATTTACAAATGGAAAACAAAGGAGACTCTGGCAAGGGACAGGTGTGAAAATGGACTTGATGTGCAACAGCAAGGTTATAAAGCTCTCATGGCTCAACTTCATTACAACCGACTTCGTGCCTCCTATAAGCTTTGGCACAATCATTTATGACTCATTTTTTCTATTATTTCGTTACCGAATACACATGGTCAAATGTTTATTAATTTTTTTGTGCCTAAACCAAGTACATGCTCATCATATGAGCTTTCTATTAGTCATAGTCCCATTGAAAAAAAAGCGTTATTTACATGTTATAGACATGATTTATTGTGATTTGTGAGGACCATCACCAATTATATAACACCTCAAAAATTACAACAAATTTTAAACTTTTCAAACCAACTCATTGACTAATAAAAATGTTTACAAAACCATTATTTCCAAAACATTATTTAAGATCAAAGTTTGCCAAGATCAACAACATAAAATCATGATGTGTACGGTCACACATTCGCCTTACCGAGGTCCTCTGAAGTACCTGAAACCATAAACTAAAACTGTAAGCACAAAGCTTAGTGAGTTCCCCCAAAAGTACCAACACAAACAGATATCATATACAAATAACAACATGTCGAGTCCAATCAACCATCGGATTGGAATGCCCCAAGCCCAATCAACCATCGGGTTGGAATGCCAATATACTATGGGTCCAGTCAACCATCGGGTTGGAATACCAATGTATTACGGGTCTAGTCAACCATCGGGTTGGAATACCAATATACTATGGGTCCAGTCAACCATTGGGTTGGAATGCCAATATACAACGGGTCCTGTCATCCTCAGGATGGAATACCCTCGGACCCAATTAACCATCGAGTTGGTATGCCCCGGCCAGTTGGCTTAATCACAAAGTAGTAAAGCCTCAACCACCAGCCAAATATGTGCACATATAACAGATAAACACATAAATAGTCTACCGACAGTCAGGCAGATCTACAGATCACTATGCATAGCAACATCATATATACCAGGATACCGATCTAACAGATCACTACAGTACGATAACATGCTATCACATAATAGGATATCAAATCCAAAGGGTCGGCCTTGGTGCCTTCAACCCACAAGTACAGTGAGGAAAACTCACCTCATAGTCCAAACGATAGCTGATGAGGTCCCAACTCCGAATCTCAACTCTAACTTCCATCTATCCAACCAAATGACCAATTCTCAACACAATCCAAAATACCCAGAATATCCTTAAGTTAAACTTGTCCGAACCTGGTCAAGGTCAAAGTCAACGTTCAACATATCCATTAGTTGACACTCACGCTGTGACCAGGCCTTGGTCACGTCGTGAAAGCATTCTCGGTCCGATTCCAACGTGACTCGGTCCATCATAGTCAACTCAGTTAATGAATTCACATGAACTGTCATCACGACGTAAGCACTCTTCCTCGTGTCATGAGCTTCAATGACCTTAACAGAAAACACGGCTCCTCGAATCTCACGTCGTGAGATCTTGCATCTCACGTCGTGAATGTTGTCTGTGGCTAAAGGTTACCATTTTAAGTTATTAATCCATTAAGTGTTTGAACCCATTTCATTCAGAAGATAAAGGGGACCCCTAAGGTCCATAAAAACAATTACTTGATGGACATGCATGCCCTAAGCATGTCCTAAACCCATATTAGGTCAAAATGACAAGAAATGACCCCAAACTCAAACAATATTCATAAATTATAACCACACTTCATATCCATAAGTCTAAAACATAGAGAATGACTCATTGATCCATAAAGTTGCCAACTTTATGGATTCCAAGCATGCAGTCCAACATAAACATGCAAAAAGTGTTGGGTTTTGAGCATTCTAACACTCCTAAGTGTACATGCAACCCTAAATACCTTGGATCTATGTTTTCACTATTATACATGCAAATATGAATATTCCAAGGTATTACCCTATCTAGCATACAATCTTTGATACTTGGGTAATAAAAACAAGTTAGAAGACATACCTTTTTATGTAGCTTGATTCCTTGATGCTTAAGAGCCTAGTGCCTCAAGTGTGACACCTCAAATGGTTCACACAACATCATCAACACTTGAAATAACCATTAAAAGAAGACACTCATGCTCAAATCGGCTAGCCCTCACATACGTATCACTAGTGCCAATTTCTTGAGCTAAAGGGGTCCTTATATAGTGTGCACATTAGGGTTACACCATGTAACTCATGAATTTACCCATTCCTTATGCTCCATGGGTTTTAACCTCCATGGAGTATCCATGGATCACCACATGGGTTAAACCCAACATAAGGAATCATGGATCATAAGCCCACATATATAAGAATGAATGATTTACACAATCAATCCCCATATATTTAATTAGTCTCTTTTTGATCACTGAATTAAGTCCAAATTAATTATTGATCAATACTAATTAAATAACATGATTTCATATTAATATATTAGAACTTATAATATATTAATATGTCACAAATGTCCTCTTCTCATAAAACGGTCTATCCAAATGTTCCGATGCCATGCAACCCAAATGGACCATGCCGGGTCGGGTCAAGTTCATACAAAATATAGTTATGGACTTAGACACTAATCCAACAGTCTCCCACTTGGATAAGTCTAAAGCTATTATTGAGTATGACTTCAAGAACTGACTGGAAATCGTAGCTCTTTAAGCCGTTGTCGAACTCTGACGTTGTAACTGAACTCTGATCTCGTCAATGACTTGTCCATTAGATAAGGGATCATATATTCCTCCATTCTAGATATCATATGGACTGAGACATGGATTATAAATCATTCTCTTTGTCCATTTGTTGTTTCCCGATTTCCGATTTATGACGACTGACTAATAGAACAAATCAAATCAATCCAGGCCCGACCGAGCAATTACATTTGTCATCACTAAATCGTCGAGGGGCCCACATATATCGCTTTTATCATGAAGGTAAAAGGAATGGATAAACTTTGACTCATATGGCTTGTTCTACTACTTGTTGAATCATACACAAAAGCACGTTTTATAACATCGAGTTACCAACGCGTTTTCACGCAATCAATGTACAACCAACTCATAGTAACAACTCATATCTCTAGGTTTAAAGAATATAAGATATTATCGTCTCATGATCACTCGTGATAAAATCCATGAAGTGATTCAAATGAGCGCGGGTTGAATCCAATACTCAGAACTTATGAGTACTCATGAGTGTTGCAGCAATACTTTGCTATGTCCAACATCTTAGACATCTACAAGCCAACTCATGACAGTCTTGATTAATATCTACTTCCAACATATGACCGACTGTGGATGGTTTGAATAACTTAGTTATTTTGGAAGTCAAAACATGCAAATTGAAACACAAGAATAATCGAATCCAATATGGTCTCAGAACTTATGAATATAAATAAACTCACCTTTTATTTATCACCATATTGATTACTCATTATTCATTGTATACTGTTTCAAGGTATGAACTTTATTCTTGAATTAAAACAATAATTGTCTCATGCTCCAAGCATGTACACTATGTTTTTCTAAACACTAGTCATGCCATACACCAAGTATGCACATTATGTTTGTCTAAACATTAGTTATGCCATACATCAA